CAGGCCAATATGTTTCACACCTATTTTGGCCAAGGTTGCTGAGGAGTTGGTGAAGAAGAGTTTGCTGCGGATTTTCTGGTCAAAAGATCTGACGCCCGCACATCACGGCTTCATACCAGGTCGTTCATGCATCGCCAACCTGCTCGTGATGAGGCATGTGTGGTTGCAAGCAGTGAATCACGGTAAGTCTGTCGACTTGATCTACACCGATTTCGGGAAGGCGTCCGACAAAGTAATCCGCGTGGTCCTCCTTCACAAACCGAGAATATGCGGGGTTGGCGGCTCACTGCACCAGCGGATCCACGAATTTCTCTTTGGACGAATATGGAGAGTACAGGTCGACAGTCATCTAACCGACTGGTATCCCTCTACTAGTGGAGTACTCCAAAGTGCGGTGCTGGGGCCTACATTGCTCCTGCTTTATATCAACGATCTACCTGAGCATCCTCGGCCGCCATGTACCCTGTATGTGGATGACCTGAAGCTGTGGAAAATCATAAGTACCTCCGACGACTGCAAGACCTCAACCGCCTTTCCATGTGCTCTGCAGAAGTCCGCCTTCCCATCAACCCATCCAAGTCGGTACTTATGAGCCTGGGGAACGGTGGTGCCGGACGAACCTACACTGTTAAAGGCCAACTGCCATATTCCACACCTGTGAAGAACCTAGGCGAGCGTTCACGTTACGATTTGAAGTCCGTCATCATCATCAACAACAGCAGTACTTCAGCCACTTGAACTGATGCTTCACTGCCATACAACCATAACGACTTAGGGAACGAAGAATACTAAGAGGGAGAGAAGTGGGACTTAACGGAAAACCTTAATCCCCTAAGTAATCATTCAGGGTCAAGGCGCCTACATCTTGTCAACAACATACCATCACAGACAGCTGGCTATCGTGCAAAGTTAAAGCCGCATCGGCGACACAGCTTTCTTGCGACTTTCAGTGCCACGCGTCATAATCATCCATTACCCCACAGATAACAGCACCAGACACACGTTAAACAGGCAGTCCGATTAGGAGACGGCAGCTGAGGCGCCTTTGGTGTCGGTTGCGAGCCATATCTTACAAAATCTAGAGCCAAGCACAAGGGGAGTCACGTGGACTCCAGCACGGAAGGCGAGACGGACCAACGGCACCCAGTTTGGTCGTCAGTGACTTTAGTTCCCGCTGCCAAGTCAACCTTCTTCCACCTCGAGCCTAGCGTCACCCTACACCTGGTAGAATAAACAAGGCCCTTCTCGGTAAGCGGTGACCAGACATACGGAGTACGCGCCCAAGGCAACGCACCTTATTCATGAACTACATTGAGTATCACTGTCCGGCACTCGCCTACGCACATCATCGTTGCGGACACGTTGTTGCCACCAGACACCAGCAGTGTTCCGCAAGCAGTGATGATCAAAAACTTGAAGGCGTCTCAGACCGAAGGGTCCAAGTCTCATTACCGTAGTAGGACAGCCCTCACTGTGGTCTTGTAAACACGACCTTTCAGACGGAGGGGAACTCGCTCCTGACGCCAAAGATGTCCCAGTTTCAAAACGGCAGTTCTGGCTTTTGCAATGCGTGTACTGACCTCGGTAGCTATATACTCATCGTTGCTGATACAGCTGCAAAGGTAAGTGAATTGATCAACTGCATCGAGTTCCTCGTTAGCTAGGATCAAGACATCATCAAGTGGCTAGTTGTCCTGTAGCAACACTGCACTTTGAAGGTGCGAAGCGCATACTGTAAGCGACAGAATTACCATGTAAACCGCAGGCTGGTTGTCAAGATCATACACCAGCTTACCACCCCATCTGCGTCACCTGTCGAGGCCCCGGATAACAATTATTTGTCTACTTCCATGCGATGCTGCATGTTTTCCTTGCAGTTTGCACCGGATGATCTTATCTGACACCTGTTCCGACGGACTATTGTGCCATTCATTATTTCCTAGCCATGTCTACGTGGGTTCATTCCAACCCCCGCTGTTAGATACGAACGCGGCCACACTGTGTAACATGCCCAGGTGTCCCATTACATATCCACTTGAGACATTCTCCAGTCACATAGCGTCATTCCCGTGTTATTCCCTGCATCCAGATTTACCCCGAGACACCTTACACCCAACGTTCTATGCAGTGTAAAGCGAACCAATTGCGTAGGGTTACTGGACCCTTGAAAAGTCGAGCCAAGTCCGCTGGCAGGCTGTATTTCGAGGTCCAGTTGTGCGGTGACGTTTGAGGTTATTTGCCTCCTTTCTGTGTCTTGTGAACTCCCGGTTGTTTTGGGACTGAACGGGCACTGTTGAGGTATGCCCATATTGTATTTTAATTCTATTTTGTTTAATAGTACTGTAGTTAACGTCTCGCCTTCCTTTATTGGTTAGACCCGGGTGTTTTTACGAGTCACTCGAGCCCCAAGCGAATCTGTCGCTTACACATACCAAATAATGGGACCACTCTAGATAGGCTATTCAGGTTTGACTGAGGCGCCCCAACATCGTTAAACAGAAGGACAGTATCGTCCGCATGATCAAGATCAATTAGCCTGTCAGCGGGCAGCACCTCCATGCCTTCATCATGATACTCAGCAAGGGAACACTCCAGGATGCAGTCCACGAAATTGTAACCTTGACGAACGCTATTTGTTATCGGAAAGCTATCCGACAGGTCACCGTAGACCCTGACGCGGCTTGTAGTGTCCGAATACAGGGCACTTAAAATGTTCACATGTTTCATGGGAGCAATCTTCCGGGCAAGTATTTCGAACAGAATGTCTCGATCGACTGAATCAAACGCACTCTTGAAATCGAGGAACACAACTATTGTCGGTCTACAGTACGTGTGGCGCTGCTCTAGCACCTGCTGCAATGTGAATATGTGGTCTGTACAGCACCCTCCTGGGCGGAAACCTGCCTCCTCTTTCCTAATCCGGGATTCTCGTTCCACAGTGAGCCGATGAACGAGAAATGAGGCCATTAATTTTGTCACTACGAGCGTTAGACTAATACCCCTGTGGTTAACACAGTCGGTGCGACTGCCCTTCTTGTATATTGCCACTATGATCGATTTACTCCAGTTAGCCGGGACGATTTCCTCCTTCCATACATGTTCGAACAGTGGGATCACTGCTTTGCAGAGGACCTCACCTCCATCCTTAAATAGTGCAGGTGGCAAGAAATCCGGGTCAGCGGCACGAAAACGATTGATAGCTGTGATCGCGTTTCGGACCTCACCCTCCGATGAAGCCTCTAAACTAACCGGCCACGGCTCGTCCTGCATCACCTGAGCAGGAAGAGGTCCGGGAGCTGAACTGATCTCGAAAGTCTTCCGCCTAATGAGCCATAGGACGCTCCTTATTGTGAATGAGAGTGCCCTCGCTGTCTCTTATTGTCTCACTGACGCATTGTTTCCTGAGCCCAGTGGCGCAGATCAGCTGGAATAGTTTGCGATAGTTCCCTTCTGCTCATGCCTCCTCCATTTCTTGAGCCCGAATTGTCCACCAGGCTTCCTTGTCAGCGCGCAGGCTCCGCTTAACTTCGCTCCTAGTAGTCTGCCTAGTCACATTGTGCTCAGAGTCCGCCGGGAGTTTTCTTCTGGTTTCCAGCTGGTTCACCGACCTCTCGGATATCCGGTGACTGGTGCGGTGACGATTGATAGTACCACAAGCAGATTCTTTTGCGTCGTCCATGGCGACCGAGATCCTATTCCACTGTAGTTCAGAGAAACTTCGGTACGCAGTACAGCCTGGTAGGCCTGCCTGACCTTGGACTAAGATAACTTCTCAGTTGCCAATCGGAGGAGACGCTTGGTTCGCCTCGCAGTAAAGTTCATAGAAAAGTGACAGCGTACTACGACATGATCCGAGTCGACGCAAGTATTTCAGATAGAGCTACAATCCAGTATGGAACCGCGCCACATGTAACTTATGGCAATGTGATCTATTTTGGTCCATCACTTACCAGCTACAGGAGGACGCCAAGTGACGCTTCGGCGTCCACTGTGTCTAAAGACAATACTGCTAAGAAACAACTGATGCTCCGCACACAGTTGCAGCAGGCGCTCGCCGTTGTCCGAACGGTTGGAGTGAAGCCCATAGCTGAGCTTCTGAAGAGCCCAGACGACCCACTTGTGCATTCATATCCACTGCAACTATTATGATATCTGAACTTGTAGCACTGTGTAGTCGCTCGTTCAGATCGTGGTAAAATGTGTCTTTGGAATCATCAGAACTGCAGTTGGCGGGAGCGTAAGCGGAAACCACAAACAAACAGCGTCTTGTACTAGTTCGTAAATCAACCTTGGTCGATGTCGTCAAACAGCTGTTCATCAGAATTCAACCAACCATCGATAACTCATTCTTGGAACTGTGAATGATACCTACCCCAGCTTGACCCGTGAGTGCTGCATCAGCGTCTCCGGATGCGTGCAACCAATGGCGAGAGGACAAGCCGGGTGCAGTTAATTCAACAACTCCATGAGAGTCATTGATCCTAGTTTCGGATACTCAACACACGTCAATATCCAGCGTGTCTAACGTGCGTGCGAATGCAGCCTGTGGCCCTATTTGTCTTAGAGTGCGAACGTCGAACGCCGCTAGGGTAACGGAATAGCGTGACCTTATAAAGGACTGTTGCCGATAGGCATCTACTGTTTTTCAAACACTGAACGGTAACAAATTGTTTGATTTTGTCTTATCTTGATTCTGTGCCCTAGGTAGTCGCGTACTTTTGCAGCTGCTTTCTCACTCTGCATGTTGGTTCTTTCAACAGATCGCCCCTTATGCCTGATATTTGCAAGCGCTATACCTTCGACTGTTTGTCCACTTGTTTTACAGATTATAAGGCTCCTCAATCATCCATTATTTCATGAACCGCCTATTTATGCCTTCCATATAGATATCTGTTAGCTTCACATTCTCGGCTATCAATATTTTTGCATGATTTTTGTTAAATTCGCTTGCTCGCGTTCAATCAAGCCATTCATATCATCTTGTGCATCCTTCTATTTAGGCGATTCAATGAAGATGTTGATCTGTCCGGATTTGGACGAACCATTTATTCCGGAGTACGAAGGTTTACTGAACTTAATCACCGAGTCCTCGGAGACACTGGTGGAATTTCTCACTTATCTACCAGATTCGTTTGCCGAGTCTAGCGATGTTGGCAACTGCCTTGGGTCCGTACTCCAGGTTTGTATTTTCGCCTATTGCTCAGAATATTTAGGTTTCCCGCTCATTTTGTGCCTAGTTATAGTTTCTTCTGTTTTGCTATTTGCCCCAATTCGAGGGTCCGTTTGTTTTCGACATAAATGCTTTCATTTTGACAGCAACTATACCGGGAGGTGTGTTATTATCTTATTGATCACTTATCACGCATTACGCACTAGGTGCAACTTGGTCCCAACTGAATGGAAGCATGCCCACACCTGTTGCAGCAAGCAATTCACGGATTGTGATTAAATTAACTAATCAACTCCCTTACCTACTTGACTCAATGAAAATAAGCATCAACAATCAGCGCGGATTTATGCATAGTTTCTATGACAGCTTAATTAGTGAACAGCATTTCGAACTCCCCCAACCATTGTACTGATATTAGAGGGTACCCCATTACTTTTACCTTCACCTCTTTCAGCTTCATGGATACATCAGTGTTGACCTTCTTAGCTGACTCTTTGCTACCCACTACATCAACCTAGATTCTATTCAACTGATTCCGTGAACTTATACAAAAACCTGACGCATAGCCTTCATCGGTAAAAAATAGCTATTTAACGAAAGTGTTCCTCACTCATTGATTTGGGATTTTCAATCCTTGATTGCCTTTTCTAACTGAACACTAATTGCATACGTTCAACCACTAATCGAGGTCGCACTTTCTGTGCGTACTAGCAAGTAGCTTGTTAGCAAGTACTGAAGTTTGAGCAAATCCAGAGGCGGGTGCCTTTGGTTACGGGGCTGTTCTTTATACACATTTCAAGCGTTGGTAATAACGTTTCATTCGGACTGGTTGTCTCTTTGGAACACACAAACGATCTCTAATGGCCGATGTGAAGCTTGCTACGACGTACGATGGCTTCTTGCAATTCCTTTGGTGCAGCGACCATGCTGCTTACAGAATATCGTTACAACGGCCGTTCTGTTACTTGTTCACTCACTGGTCGCTGATTGTTTCAAGCCCCTGTTGGTATATAGGATCAAGGTCAACGCGCCGGGTTAATGAATTCTCTGTCGAAAACCAAAAATTCTCTTCCTTTTTCTTGTATCACCGTGTGTCAGCATCTCCGTTCTAGTCCAATCAAAGCTCTGTCCTTCATCGGGGTGTATCGAAATCAAACTTACAATGATTCTGGCAGGCACGTTTGTGCTCCTGTATTCTCGTAGTCAATTTCCGTTCTGTTTGGCCCTCATTGTATTTCTGCAGTTTGGGCACGGAATCTTGTATACATCATGTGCTTCTACTTTATCTTTCGGTTTTGGCAAAGTTCTTTTCGGTGTTTCTGTTGGTTTGTGAACAGCCGAAGTCGGTCAGAGACGTTCTTTACATACGGCAAAACAATCCGTTTCGTCGGTGTCGACGTAGCTATGGTAATGGTGGCTTTGGGATTGATGTACCTTCCGACGAAGCTGCACGGGTACCCGTTGTGCCTGAAGGATCTAACTAGATGGTTATCTTCCTTCCGTTTCGCTTCTGTGGTACCGCAGGGACTCGATCCTTCGGAATAAAGTTCCTATGCAGCTTATTTAATGGCATTTTGGGTACTTGTTGCAGTTCAGGATTTAATCAGTGGGCGTGCATTTTCTGCAAACCGAGGCTTGTAGTTCTTCGTCCACTGTCCTGGTAACCAAAATGTCAGCAAGTTTTTCAATCTCTGATTCCATGGTGAACTGAATGCCATTCATCGCATTCTTCAGTAAAGCTTGTCTCGTTTGCAATTGGCTGCGTTTGAGTATCACAAAGCTATCGTCAACGTATCAAACCAATGATTTTGGACTTTAGAATGGGAGCAGATTATCTTCCAACTTCTGCGTGACAACCTCCGCAATCAGTCAAGATGTGGGTATCCCATTTGTGCTCCTTTCACTTGCTCGTAGGATATTCTACTGTATTTAAAATATGCGGTAAGACGCAAGTCGAGGAGCTTGAATGTGCTTTCGATCATCAGATCCCAATGTTTTGTTCGTCACGGTTCAGGCGTTCTCTGAGCCTTTCTTTCGCTACTGTTAAATTGACAGAAGTGAACAAGGCGGTGACCTCAAAGGACATCATTATTTCTTCATCATCTATTCATAGGTATTTGAGCTTCTCCAAAACTGATAAGCATTGTTTATAGAGTATTGCGAGCCGTTGGTCAGATTTTTGAGGCGCTTCCATAACTATTTGGCCAAGTTGTGAGTTGGCGTACCTGGAAGTGACACGATTGATCCTAGCGGTGCACCTCCCTTGTGTACCGTCGGAAGTCCGTAAAATTATGCGATGCTTGATTTGCAAGCCTTGATTCTATCGTGCTGTCCCTTTATGACTCGGTTCAATTCCTAAAAATCATTTTGTGTCCTGTTCACTTTATCCGTTAACTGCACTGTTGGATTTGCGCTAGTTTATTGAGTCATCCAGGAGATGACTTGCTTTTTCATTATAATTTGTTTGGTCCACTAAAACAGTCATACCCCCTTACTTATGGGCTGGAATACGATGTTTTCCTCCGTTTTCAAGGCTTTTATGACCTTCTCCTCCTGCTGTGACAGCGAATTGCGTTGTTTGCTGTGTGTCAGGACTGGAACGACGGCAAACCCTATTTGCGCTTTAGTCTCTTTTTTCAATTCCATTGGACTGTAAAGCATTTTCAAAGCCGGCGTGGAATTCTTTGTGGTTTAACATCTTTGGAGTTGTAGTTAAATCCCTTTACGAGAACTTGTCGTTCTGCACTGAGTTGGCAGTTGGGCAGATTTCCGCTACAGCCATCATTGATATCTCGGTATTTGTGGCTGGATAATTTGCCAACTTTAGTTGTAAGGCAGCCAGTATTTTTGCGTCTGTCTTTGCCGCGCTGCGATCGATCTCCAGACTTAGCTGTTCAGTCATTTGTTGACCTACGATTTATGGGCTGGTAGCTCAGTGATCAGCAAAGAATCTATCATATTTCTTGATGCCATTGTGAGCGTCATTGATCATCAGCTGTACCATGCGGTTGTGGATAGTTTTTGGCGGTTTGTAGTTGACACTTCGAGGAAGAATATCATTTTGTAACCAGTCTTCGAGGAAGGATAGCTTCTGCCGTCACTCAAAGTTCTAACGACGAGCAGCGCGGAGTGTTGAGCGCCCATGGATGTTTGCACTGAAATGTTACTGGGTTCGATATGGTCTGTATGGGAGTCCATGTGAAACCCCATTCTCTTCGCATGAACGCTTCCAAAGACCTTGCTTTAATTTCTTTTTTGAGATCATTCTTCAATGCCAGAGTCAAATAAGCCCGTCTCCTCAGTCACTTGCCACTCATTGCAATCGCTCCATTTCGGATTGTTTTCAACTCCACATACATTCACCCCTACTCGATTACCCTCTTTATCCAAATCCTTGGAAAAAGTTTCCCACTTACCTGTGTCCATTCTGTGTTTGCGATTTTCTATTTTTCTCATCCTGTGCAGACCTTCGAGGCTCAGACGGCTCAGTTCGACCGGATGAAATGTTTCCATGAATTGCTTCCTTACACATTATTATTCTTTTGATGAGAGGAACTAGACTACCCTACTCGGATGTACATTTGAACTGTTTAACACCACAACTGACTCAAACTCCCTGCTCGGTTGATATCCATTAAGGCTTTTATTTAACGTTCGCAATGTTTTCACCATGTCGTTCATGTTGCTTTTGTACAACATTGTACTCCGCAGGTCGCTCTAAAACTCATCGGGAGTACTGGTGGCCGCATCACCGTATTCAACACATGTTTGCCAAACTTGGGTGCCGGTTGTTTGCGGATGCGTGAGGAGCAGTCTGATCGTACCAGTGCTGATGTCAAAAGTCTGGGCCCAGCAATAGACTTTTACAAGACGTTCGCACTCGATTGTGCTGCACAACAGGTGGGGCCAGATCTTCCATATTGTTCTTTGTTGATGAAACCAGGCCAGCTTGCATATTCAAAATTTTTCCTTTGTTGGTTATCTACATCATCTCTGTCGGTTGACATTTCTCAACCACTTCTGTTTTCTCCTCTAACACGCTCGCCACTTACACATATGTGTGCCTACTTGGATTTTGCCCCATTGTTCATAAATGGAAGCATTAGTATTCAACTTTCCGTCCTGCTACTCCTTTTCAACGATTGCAGTTGGTCGTCTTTATTGATACACTCGGCCCCTCAGATCGATCCTTTGGGCACTTTTCCGTGACGTTCTCTCGTATATCCTACGCTACGTTTTCGCGGTCTGTCTAGCATCTATGAGAACAATCGCCTTGTTCTAATCTTTGTCCAGCTTAGCTCGGTTAATCATTTGCGATTTGTGCACCGATCTGCGGCAGAACCATTTACCGTTCAAGCAAATATTAGCAATGATATAGGGCTAACAGGATTGGACTCTTCGAACAAGAGAGAGGTTAGCGACTGAGGGTAACAAACCGGATACAATCGCGTCACTAATTTCTCCACCTCATCATGCCCAGAGACAATCTAGCCACTATTGTGACAGAAAATTGAGCTTTTCGGTCAATTTTGTCTCGCCATTTACACTTTCATCGACTGGCCAGCTATCGCCTAGCGCAACATGTGCAGTTTCCGGCAATCCTTCGGCGGACGTTTTCATGTCTGCCGTTGGACACTAACTGGACCGTAGTTATCCTCTGGGTCACCCGTACAACGATTGTGGAAGACGAGTTGTATCCCAACGCCTTCAATGCGCTGCCATGCTACTTCTGGTCTACATGTGGCACCTCATGTACCGCAATTTTGCACACCTTGTCTTCAACCGGCAAATTTCCTATCCTTATGTTAAGAACTAAACACGGTCCTCTGATCCTTACACTGCAGTACCTTCGTATAGTAATCGCTTACGATTATTACTGCAACAGTACACTGTACTTTAGAGGCTTATATTTCAGTTGGATTTATCATATATGACCAAACTCGCTGTGAACTCGGTAGTCTTCACACACGTTGTCGCATGAGAAATGAGACAAATACGTAGTGTTCAAAAAGAAACCGAACTTTTGATATAGCGCCCCAACCGGCGGAGGGAGCGCGTTGTGGCTACTGAGCCCATGCGGGGGCTTGTCTAGACAACAATCTACCATTTGCCGCCTTTCGCTGGGACAGTTGGCGAGCTACAGCCGCTGAAGTGAGCACGCGCACAAGCTGTTCGTCGGATTCGTACCATCGAATTCATGAAAGAACTTGAAGAACAACCTGTGTGTGAAATTTTACAACAAACTGGGCAAAACTTTTACAGAGCCATTTCAGTTGCTTTGCCAAGCGTACGGGAGGGCTGTATGAGTCAGTTTAAGTGTTTTGAACATGGCAGAATGTTGGTCGGTAACGATCCCAAGCCTAGACGACCTTCCATATCAACAGACGTTGACCATGTCGAGAGATTTCGTGCTGTGCTCCGTGGAAATCATCCTTTAACTGTTCGAGAAGTTGCTGACGAAGTGGGCATCAGCGTAGGATCATGCCATCAAATTCTAGCGCGTTTGAGGGATCCTGTGCGCAGGAAGAGGCCTGAACTGTGGGAAAACCAGACTTTGATCTTGCATCATGACAATACGCCCGGCTCATACATCGCCTCTTGTCCGCCGCTATCTAGCAAAACATCACACTCCCGTTGTGCCCCATCCACCGTATTCTCCGGACCTAGCCCCTGCAGACTTTTTCCTGTTTCCCAAACTTAAAACCACGTTGAAAGGACGTCGTTTCTAAACCATAGAGGAGATTCAGACAATGGAACAAGAGACTTGCGAGCTATCACGGAAAGTGCGCTCCAGGAGGGTTTTTAAAAATGGAAGCACCGTTAAGAACAGTGTATTGCCAGTAGAGGGGACCAGTTTGAGGAGGAAAATACTTAATATTTTGTGTAATGAACAGTAAATATGTTATACGAAAGGTTCGGTTTTTTGACCATTCCTCATACATCTATCTAGTCGATCAAGTATCGTCGACGAAAATGTTGCCATCAGTCCGTAGGTGAACTTGGAGCGCCAACCAACAATCGAAGACAAGGGATACTAACACTTACTGATCCTCAAGGTAACCTCACTTCACGTTCGGTTGAATTATCAGGCATCATAGTGAAGCCATCGCGAAAACCAAAACACTACTGATGGGTAGCCATGCCCAGCAACACTCATTGCTAAGAACGCTCAACGGGTGTCCAACACTCCAGACCTGAATAGCGAACATTGCGATTTGAGTGAGCGATTCTGGATGCCTGCTTCGGATCCGTTACTAAGCAAGAAGCGTTCAAACTTGTATTCTCCACTTCCTATTGTTCTGTTTCTTCTTGCTTCTGTTTGGGACAGTGCTTTGATTTCACAGGCGGCCGCAGCTGAGCGTTCGTTCACCCAAACACATCTACCTCATACAATAAGGCTGCGGCATTCCTGCATAATTGTCACTGACGGATAGTATCTTCTGTTACCAATCTCCGTAGTGTGTTGGATATCTTCAAAACCGGACTAGTTACAGCAGTACTTTTTGGTGATCGGTTACTTTGCCTTCAAAATTTCTGATGTGTCTACCCAAGTGAATGGACATGTCGGCCGCCTTGCTTAATGTCTTCACTATCCTGTTACAACCTTTGTACTTTATAGTGCGAGACGTTCCCAGTGATATATCATCCAGCTTCACTTTGTCCCTATTGCTTCTATGGAAGCTGACTCCGACTCGAGAGGAGATGTATCTCTCCTGCTTTATTTGTTATTGCACCCAGTTTGTCCCGCACTCCAGGAAATGCATACAGGGTGATATCAGTCAGTGATTTCAATCAAAAGTTTAGATAGACGACTAAAGGCTCTAACACATACGGCCTTCAAATCAGGAGCAGTCACTACTGCCAGCTATAAACGCTTATCTGGGCGCAAACGTTTGATCGGCTCAACGCTTAGAGAAGGGGCGGCTATCCTGTCTACATCCGGCTCTGCGGTCAACTAGCCCAATAGTAAACATGCCAATCCTTCTTCACCTGTAAACTCTACATCCGGGGAAATAAAGTCTAAACAGCATACACCACTTTATGAGAAACGGTTCAGGCTATCAATATTGAACGGAATCCCAGTTCCTTTGAGAAAGATTCAAGCTTTTCGCGCAGCACCCAAGTCCACCTCTGCAACGGCCGAATCAGTTCTAAGCTCCGTTTTTCGGCAGCTAACGTTGCTGTTTTGTTGTTGGACCGTAAACGTTCGTTTATTTTCTGACTACTTGCACGGTTTCAGTAGGTGCATTTTCCACACCTCTGATTGCAATCCGCAGGGGCGATGTAGGTTTCGACTGGAATTGCATAACATTGACGGGACGCCAATCCTCTTTTCTCAAATAGCAATCGGAAATCACCTCCCTGAGTACACTCCCATGTACACATCATCTATTTTCACAGCGACCGTTCTTGTCGTTTGAGGAATGTTATCTGGTCAAAGCGACGTAATCCGTTTCAGCAATCCAGTTCGCCACTGATCTGTTCTGTGAATAGTACTGTTGCTTTCTTGGTTACTCGGAGACTGTGGCGACTCAGGGTGTTTTGCCCAGCTCACAAGTCGACGGATCCACTGGATATTTGGCTACCCATCTTCATGACTACTGCTGTATCGCTAGTTGCTTTTTTCGACCCCACTGCACTGATCATCGTCATCATCAGAGACGGGAAACACCTCAGCTATTTTGCATCGCTGCGATTCGATTACATGATCGTAAGAAGGAATAGAAAATACGTTAAAAGCAAATAATGTTGGTTTTTTTCCTACAATGTATCAGTATCGAGATCCTGGCTGGGGCGGGGGGGGGGCTAAGATGGAGGAGGGAAGATGAAGTAACCCGCAGCACAAACGCTAATGAGACTTGTTCTTGGCTATGTGAACAAGCGTCTCCAGCCCAAGCGTCGTCTTTGAGACACCAACCCAGAAAGTATAACGCACCAGCCGATGGTTGAACTGTTCAGTAAAACTGCCCTTCTCCATCTCCTAAGTCCTTGTTACTATCTGGGGCGCTCGGTTCTTCCCATAACTTATTCAAATGCCATTTTAACTTCATGTTTATTCTTCCTATCTTTGGTGTTTCAGTCTAATTCATAAAGGTTACCCAAGTCTACTGTTATTCCCTGAGCATCTAGGCAAGCAAGTTTCTTCGCATACCTTTTTTCATTTCATTTTTGGAGTGCTTGTAGTCAACTTTTGACTGCGCCAGCTCGTTCATCAGCAAAGGCTACACTTAATTCAGCATCTGATCTTTTCCATCCACAAATTGTGAGGTTTCTTGTTAGCTACAAAACCAAAAGGTTCAACTATTAGCTAGAACTGACAGGGTGAGCCCTGTGCTTAAACTGGCATGATCGGATTCAACTCAACCGCTGTATGTGTCTTCAGACCTTCATGAGCGTACTTCTTTACCTATTGACGATGAGTTCTCGGATAGCTACCAGCTGGCACCACACGTCGTTTGTTCTGTCAAGAATAACGCTAATCCTCATGTAGGGACTATAGTCTTTAACACTACTGGTGAGTGCACTCATTGTTTTCAGCCTAAGGAGACCCGCAGTTCTAAACGACGAATGTCGTTTTATTGCAACTTTTTGGTGTGTCGCACTTTTTCACCTTTGACTCCTGTTGTTCTCCGTTCATTTTTCTTACTATTTGCCTTCTCATTTCATCCAGTTTATGCGACCATGCTCCTCCTTTTAGTCTGCGCGTTTTCTTTGTTTTCAATCTTCTTTGCTTGTCTCGTTATCTTTTCTAACTTTTTTTCTGCTCTTTGTGTCCTTCAGGTTTTAAGTCTACATAACACCTATCATTATGCTAAATGTGTCAATAGGTATTTTCTTTTCTGTGTACATGTTCTTGCTGTTTCTCACCGAATAACGTTGTATATGATGCTTTGTGTTCATGTGTCCATGCTTTTTCTAGCTTTACTTACATCTCACTCTGTCTCATCTTTCTTTCTATATTTGCAGGTTGCCGTGGACTTGTTTTTGCTGAATTCTCAATACTGTGATATTGCTACTCTCTCTGGCGCCGCCCGGTTTTCCAGTGGTGGTGTTTACCATTATCCGGACTTTTACTGTCCTCCACGGACCACTTCAGGGCTTTCAACAACATCATCAAAAGTGCATGCCGAGGCAGAATCGAGGAGCGTTCACAACGCAGCGAGCCTGACTACTCAGCAACCGAATACACAATCCGTCAATAGTACCATCACATTGGAGTGCTTCCGACGTGATTTTGACCGTTACCTGTCCCGAAAAATTGGATTCGAAGCTGTTATGCGTATTCGCTGTACGCATGGGCTATCCATTCAAGTGAGAGACACTTAATGAACCGTCACTTTATTTCTCCGACCACAATCTACGTGAGCAGCGACCTGTTATGTCAACCCTTAAGCGTGTTGCACTAGTCATCTTAAAGCGCATAGTTACCTACCTCTTATAACGGCATGTTCATAACCTACTGATGGGTGTGCAACACTGTACCTCACCAGTTCTTTCATTGTTTGCTTCGTTCCTTCTACCACATTTCTATGCCGTTACTGTCATCACCGCTATTCTCCCGATCGTAATCAACGACGACTGCATTACGTCAACGCCTAACTGTATGTAATACTCGGTCAATGTCTCATCCAGTGCAGCGTAAAGTTCACTGAGGTTTTGACCAGCCAGTCTCGAGGCGATACTGCTTTCTGGTTTTGTAATCCACGGGTCGCCGTTTCGAAACTGCGTGGACGCGGGCAGCCGCAATATTTCGCGGTTTGTATGTGAATACCGATAGCCACATGACAGCCAGGCGTTGGTGCGAGATTTCCATGCACTGATGATGCCTTTACTGCAGGTTATACGGAAGGCATCAGCAGTACGCCGGTACTCCGTACAGGCACTTCACTGTTGCGCAGCCGCCATCGGTCGCACGTGGGCTAAAGATACTGCGAGGGTCGCCCTGCCCCTACGCAGCCTCGAACCCGCGCCGTCAGATTCCAAGACATTCTCGTTACCTTTAGGCTGCAGGCTGGCACATTTTTTTCGTGATCCCAGTTGTAAGGTTACCCCTTTGCCTTATGTATGACTCCCCCACGGATTCATTTCGAATTTTAATTTTACTCACATATCTATAGTTTCGGTAGGCTAGGATTTTGGTCAATGTATGCGGCACGGAATCCTATGCTTCCAGCACTGTCATTTTTCACCGCATCAGATTCTCCAAAATGTCGATGATGCTGCTGGAATTCAGAACAGGTCTCCCGCCAGCATTGTGGACAATGCAACCCAGCAGTCTCTCAGGCAGTGGCTAAGGGATAGTGCGGACTGACACGGAAACCTACTTGACTAAAAAACTTTAGCGAGGGAAAGAAGCAAGTGGTGATGGTAGCTGCTGCTGATGGCCGTTCCAAGTAACCCGCTCTCTTATTCCCACGAACGCACTCGTCCGTGGGCCAATCAAGATCCTGGCTTGCACTCAAACTACGGAACGTCGTCTTTATCGTCGAGCGGGGCATTTTTGGGTCTGTTCGATCGACCATTTACTTCCGTTCGATTCGTGTTTAGGTAATGCAGATGCCCTACAGTAGCCTGACAAAGGTTTTATCCTAACCTAAGGATTGAAATGAGACCACACTCTACAACCGTCAATATGATAATAAAATGGACAGATTTCAGCAGTATACCCTTACTTTGTTCTGACGCTTCGGTACCACAGAGGCACAATCGATTGCACGTTGCTGGGTTGTTACCGGGGCTTCAAACCACACAGATGCGGGGATCCGAAACAGGGCTCAGAGGTTGCTGGCCAAACGCCCATGGACCTTAGATTCTTCGACACTCTCATCACTTAGTGTTGTTGATAGGAGCTTGTGTGAGGAATTAACTTATGTATCCTGAATATGCTTGGAACGCGACGCCTGACCTTTAGAGCTGCAACAGATGGATCATAGTGACAATATTCGATTAGGTTAGCCACAACATACGTGCCATCTGCAAATTTATTAACTTGGTGTCCTGATTTCTCTCGATCTCTTTTTAACTGTGACTGAGCTGCTAGCATCCACCTAAAAATACTATTTCAACGCAGACCCCGGGTCTAACTATTTGCCTTTCCTATATGGGGCGACGGCTGCGCAGGAATTGTGATTAATGTAGTTAACTTTCCATTGTTAGAATGCTCGTTGTTTCGGGGACTTACATCGTGCAATCTATATTTGGACCGTGATATATTTTGGAGCGCATTTTAAACACTTTTGCTACTAGTATTGTGCCTAACACAGACCATGTGTTGGGTGTTAACCGAGCTTCTAATGCAACCGTCTGCAGCAAGTCTTATTCGCACTTTTCTGGTGGAGGTAGTCGAACTGCTGAGAGTTAAATCCGGGACTTATGGGCGACCGAATCTCACCTGCAACACTACGGAGCTCTTAGAACAGCGCTTCTCACAACGCTTATTTACTCATTACTGGTCTATTTGCAGCCGCCATTTTGTGGACAGATCGCAACGCACGGTATGCCCCTGTCCTAGTTCTAATGCGGGCGCTTTTTTAGCGAACGGCGGCAGCGCCTATTAAAGCACGCTCGGGGAACCGATGCTATTATGGAGCAGAACGGATCATTTCTGCCGCATACCTCTTTTCCACTCATCACACTTGCCAGACCTATTGGCGAGAGTGTTTTACCAGTGTCATCATGTTGCGACACGCGATCTCGATTTGGACCGCTTGTCAAGGGGCTTATTTACTAAGTCTAGTGTTGCGTAGAACTGGAGGGGGTGTGCGTTTATTTGGCAGCAGAAAAAGAAGTCCCCGACCACTTAAGTGTTGGTCCACCTCGCCTTCTAGTCAACCCTATGTTTGACTCGTGACCGGCACTAGTGGAGCGCCTACTGTTGTCTCCTAACCGAATCACCTTCTTAAGTTCGCCCTGCTCCTTGGGGTGTACCTTGATCAGCCCTCTCGCTCAGAAGTCGTACGTGAGATCGGACTGCTGAAGTTGAGTAAAGCCGCGGGACCAGATGATCTTTCTGCAGCCCTTTTCAAACTCGCGGACCCTACTCTTGTGGATAATTTACACGAGTTCCTAGTGAAACTGTGAGAGCAAGAAACTGTCCCGACGGACTGGAGCCGATCTGTTATAGTATTAATTTTCAAGTTTTTGGCTCACGATCAGAATGCGGCAACCATAGAGGAATCAGTCTGATCTCCATCGCCTCTCAAGCGCTTGCATGTGTCATCCTTCACAGACTGATTGGTACTCGTGAAATTCAGATTTGTCAGATTGCGTCAATTGTTGGTGCATCGTCACATATATTGGCGGCCCACTGTTGTCATGTTCCTCGCTACCAATGTCGCGTTCGATTCGCTTAATCAATGGGCCCTTTGGGACTGTCTGCTCAGGGAAGGTGTGTCCGAGAAATATTTGAATATTATCCGAGCGTTATACGCGCGTGGCTCAGGCAGTGTGAGGGCTTACGGCAAGCTGTCGCTGCCCTACAATATCTACAGTGGTGTGAGACAAGTATGTCCGATGTCACCTTTCTTCTTCAACTTCGCCATTGGCGAAGTCATGGAGATCGCGTTCACAGGACGCGACTTAGAAGGGATGGATCTGCTCCCAGGAGAACGACCTCTTGACTTGGAGTGTGCTGATGATATTGCCCTAATCTATGACAGCTCACAAACGTGCCAAGCTTCACCGGACAGGTTTACACTCTATCAGCCATTTCCAGCTATGCTTTGCGCCATCGAAGTGCAGAGCGTTCCTCCAAGATTGGCAGTTACCGTCTCCTGCGCTGACCCTTGGTGGGGATCAGCTGGAAGATTTTCAGCAATTCAACTACCTTGGAAGTTGTATCAACGCCCTTTGGATCGAAGATGAGCTCGCGAACCGTAGAGAAAAAGCTCGAATCGCCTTTGCTAACCTTCGTCACATATGGCGTCGGTGCGATACCACTCTCTCCCTGAAGGGTAGAGTTTACAATACAGTCGTCTGTTCGACTCTCCTTTACGGTTGTGAAACCTGGTCCATTAGATCAGCAGACATAAAGAGGCGAGTTACGTTCGACCACCGGTGTCTTCGCAGTTTGACTCACATCTGGTGGGAACACCGCATGCGCATCGAGCATGTTTGACGGCTTGCTTTTGGCTCAGGAAAAGGAAATGAGCTTCTCAGCACCGTTATTTCACGTGCCAGGCTCCGATGGCTCGGCCACATATTGCGCATTCCAGCCCACCACCTCTCACGACTTGCGTTATTTGCACGCCGGTGGCGTGGATGGAAGAAGTGGAGAGGTGGTTAGGCGATGGCTTGATTGAGAGGAATGATGGCCCTTACTTCGACGTTGGGCTCAGTTGGAGCGTCTCGGCTCCATGGTTGGGGTCCGAAAGACGATGAACACGTTTGGCTGGATACACTTGCTGACATGACTAGGAAGCGAGCTCAACGGCGTTTGTGTTGTGCGTTTCTTCGTCCCTCCCTCTCCAACCGCGATCTCATTTCTTTGCATAATATAAATTTTCCATAAAAACGTTTTTTGCTCCATAGTAGCTAGCTAGTAGCTTTCCGGAGCGATGCGCATCAGTTACTGGTAGCTCAGCTGGCGTGCACCAATTGTAGGCTTCTTATCTTTTCTTATTTATTGCGGCACGGTAGCTGAGGTGATTTCCACCTATAGCTAAGGTGTATAATAAATGGATGACCTGTTTAAGATGTATTATACTGAGCTATTTACTGCATACTCTTGACTGCTGCATGACTCGGTGAATGTTCGAATTAAATTGCTTCGTCGTGTCTTCGATTGATGACCGTACGTAGTTTTGTATCTGTAGCAAGTGGAGTGGGAGTATTGATCCTGAATCTTTTCCAACTCTGTTTTTGCAACCCCCATTATCCTCTCTTATATGCATCATTCTTGCTCTGGTGCATCAATTCAGTGTGCCAATGTCCATCGCAATGAGGCTGGACCTTACCGCGGTGCGATGGTTTGCGTGCCTCAGGGATCCATTGAGCTATGCTGGGTGGTGCTTTTTCGCACCTTCAGAGTCACTCATACCAGATTGGTCAATAGTTAGAGGCCAGACAAACTCAGCCTCCTGGTCTTCCAGCTTGGGGGTTGGAATGGGGGTGGCTCCTTATTCCTTAAAACGGACTCCGTAGTCCAGTGCCAAAACCCGCTGTCTTGCGGTAAGGTTTTTGGTTGAGAACCCTAATCGTTTTCCTGTCTAGGCCGGGGCAACCTGACAGTATTCTGCCCACGCAATACAATGAAACTTTCCTAAAACAATTTCTTGATGCTCTGGCCGTCGCAGAGGATAATCAACGGTGCC